CAGTGTTTGGCTCCGCGGGGAGGCTAGGAGCCTCCTCTCATGGTAAGGGGTCCGGGGCCAGGGGGGTTGGATAAGGGGTGGGGGCAGTCAGGGGACAGGGTGGGTTGGATAGGGGGTGGGATCCTGGGGGGTGGTGGTGGTTAGGGGCGGGGGGTCTCTGGAGGGGGCAGTCAGGGAGCAGGGGGGATTGGATGGGGCATGAGAGTCCCGGGGTCTCTCAGGGGGTGGGGGTGGATAGGGGTCAGGGCAGTCAGGGGACAGGGAGCAAGGAGGGTCCTGGGGGGGTCTCTGGAGGGAGTGGTCAGGGGATGAGGAGCTGGGAGGGTTGAATGAGTCAGGAGTTCTGGGGGGGCTGTTAGGAGGCAGGGGTGTTGAGAGGGGTTGGGGGAGGCAGGGAGCGGGGGGTTGTATGGGTTGGGTGTTCTGGGGGTCCTGTCAGGGGGTGGGGAGCAGTTGAATAGGCGTGGGAGTCCCGGGGATCTGTCTGGGGGCATGGGTGTGGATAAGGGTCGGGGCAGTCAGGGGAAAGGTAGGGGGTAGGGTCCTAGGGGGGCAGTCAGGGGACAAGGAGCAGGGAGGCTTAGGTAGGGGGTGGAGTCCTGGGGAGCAGTTAGGGGCAAGGGTCCCAGGAGGGGGTAGTCGGGGGGAACAATGAGCAGGGGGGGTTGGGGGTTCTGAGGGGGGAAGTCAAGGGGCGGGAAGTAGGAGGGAGTGGATGGGGGCGGGACTAGGGCAGGGGCAGGGCTAGGGCGGGGCTCCCTGGGTGCACACTCTAATGAAATGGGCTGTGCATGCCTATGTCCTCAACATGTGTCATGAATTATCACAAGCATTCATCTGACCAATTTATAAAAACAAAACAAGAAATAAGAGATTACAATATTGTGGAAGGCAATTTTAATTCACAAATAAATACTGTGCATATGATAATTAATTCACATTAACTAAACCAATTTCTGTTGCTGTTATTATTTGTTAAGGTGATGTGATATATGATTTATTCACATTAACTTCTGAAAGTAATATACAGTTTAGAAACTGCATAGGCTCTTCCTGTTCACTTCTTGTCTCTTTTATACAGTGATTTATGAGGTGTACAAAAATTATTTATGTGGAAAAAAAAGAACCACTGATTCTTTTGGGGGAGTGCATCTTACACTTCTAGCTAGAAAAGAAGCCAGCATACAACACTAAATCAAACTTGCTGCAGTTTAAAATATCATTATTAAATGTATAGGTTTATGCAGAACTATAGGTAAAAGGATTTTTCTCACATTAAAGCATCCATTATACCCTGTATAATTATTTAAATACATTTTTGGTGAGGAAGGTAAGACAAAAAATGATGTTTGTATATAACAGCAAAGAAAATTAACTGTAAAATTTACTATCTAAATTTCACATTAAAAATGAAGATTTCTACTTTATCTTCCCTAATTTGTATCATGATATTAAGTGTTTTTAAGTCATGATACAATCATGATATAATCAAAACAATTTATTTTTAGTGGCAGAGTAGCAAACTGTTCATGGTTTACTTTGGCATCACATATTTATCTGAATAAATGGCTACAGACAATCACAATCTTTGAAATGACAAACACATATTAAATTTAACCAAAATAAGGTTTACAACAGGAGGATTAAATTGAGTTCTACTGTATTTGAGTAACATCTTTTCCAATTAGCAAGTCTCCTTCTATTAGATTGTCATTTATTCACAAAGCCTTAAAGCAGTGTTTCCCAAACTTGGGACGCCGCTTCTTCGGGGAAAGCCCCTGGCGGGCCGGGCCGGTTTGTTTATCTGCCGCGTCTGCAGGTCTGGCCGATCACGGCTCCCACTGGCCACAGTTCACTGCTCCAGGCCAATGGGAGCTGCTGGAAGCAGCGGCCAGTACATTCCTCGGCCCGTGCCGCTTCCAGCAGCTCCCATTGTCCTGGAGCGGCGAACTGCGGCTAGTGTGAGCCGCGATCGGCCGGACCTGCGGACGTGGCAGGTAAACAAACCGGCCCGGCCCGCCAGGGGCTTTCCCTACATAAGCGGCATCCCAAGTTTGGGAAACACGACCTGAAAGGGTAATAACACTAGATTACAGTAAAAAGTTACGTTCTCTGTACTCTCCCCACCATCCGTGCTCTCTTCTCCATATGCTCAGTTGTCATTTCATTACACCACAATATCTCCATCACCCTGGTTTCCATTATTTCCCCAAACTCTCTCACCACAAAGTCCATTCCATCAACCTCCAATTCATGCTCAACTCCTTTTTACTCCTGTACTGCTGAGTGCATTTTGAGAAAATGCCTTGACCGCACAGACACTCATCCTTCAGTACTAACATCTCCCAGCTCAAACAACACTTCTCCACCATCATTTAATCCCATATTGCAATTCCAGCCACCTAAAAGAATTTCCCTGTTCCATGTTCTCTCACCAACTTTTTCAAAGAGAAGATTCAGCATGACATTCTTTCTGCCTTCCTTTCACAATCTTCTCTCACCCCATTCTTACCTCCTTCTGCACTTTCAACAACAATGAGGTTCCTCACTTGTTTTCCTCTTAACTCTTCCACCTGGCCAAGCGATGCCATCGCCTTCTTCCTCATGACCTACCCTGCCCTTACACTCTCACCACCTTCTTCAACCCTTAGCTTCTCACTCTTATTAAATTCCTTTCCTTCACAGTATGAACATGCTATGATTCCTCTATCCTTATAACCCCACAACATTTACCCTGCATCTTTCTCCAACTGCTATCCCATCTCCCTTCACCTCTAAACTCAGTGAAAGTGTCACACACAACTGTTTTATTAAGGTTCTCTCCTCCAACTCTGTCCTTTTACCCTCCAATTTGGTCTCTATGCCACTGAAACTTTTGTCTCCATGGTCTTTAATGACACTTTTATGGTCAAATTTCAGAGCCTCTACCTGGATGACATCTTTGAGTATCATCTATCTAGATCCACACATCCAGGCAGTGTCCATATGTTTCCCCTTCTTCCTTCCTCCATCACTTCCTTCCAGAGATCTGGCCTTTCCTCTCTGTTCTGCTAGTAAAAGCCTAGTCTAAGCCCTTATTATCTCTCATCTTAACAACTGCAGCCTTTTTCTCTCTGGCCTTTCTGACATCCAATTGGATTCCCAGGTCCAATCAAAAGATGCTACTAAATTAATTCTTCTGACCATGTTACCCTCAACTGAGAGATGGTCCCCCTTTCTCCACTGCATCAAATGAACGTGGCCCTTCACAACTTAGCCCCTCCCTATTTAATACATTTATCATGTGATCTTTCCCCTACTCCTTCAGTGATACTATCTTCCATTTCCTATTTGCTCCTACTATAAACACCCTCACATCTTCTTCCATGCTGCTCCTTTATGTATGGCCCACTCTCCTTAAACTAGTCTGTAAAGAGAATACCCTCTCTTCAAGATTCACTTCTACAATGATGACTACCAGAAAAAGCCAACTGATAATGGATAGTCAGATGGCCTTTAGGAGTGTCCAATATTGTATTTTTAACTCTAGTTGTGTATAAACCTGGCCTATGTAAATGCATATTCTTATTACTATTTCCATCATCCTCCCTCCCCAGTTCCTTCAGATTGTACAACCCACTGATTATATCTTATATTAAATATATTGCAAGATCTTTAAGGCAGGGACTGTCTTTTACTGTGTGTTTGTACAATACCTCAATCATGATTGAAGACTTTAGGCTACCATAATAAAATAATCATCATCGTAAATAGGTTAAAAGTGTCTACGTCAGCTAAGCCAAGAAAAGAACAAGAGCGATTCATATTCTTCACTGCCTCTGTGAGCAACTAGATAACATGTATTGATGGTGAAAATCATAGTGATGTTATACAAGAAGGAATGAGGGGGGGAAATAATTTGCTTACATACCATGGATATCATACAAAACTAAAAAAAAAGAAAACATTCAGAGCTGAAATTACTGTTAGAATAGGAAATGTTGAAATAAAAAGAATAGGCGTTTTGGAAAGCATCCCATTTCAACATAAAATGAAAGACAAACAAAATGCAGTGTATTGTTGAGATGTCCGTAATAAAAAAAATAGCTCTCTAATTCACAAAGGTGTACAACTTTTTACCAACATACAGTTTTCTAAATTTAAAAAAGGAAACCTAGCTACAAAAATAATAACTAACATGAATGTAACATTATAAGCATACTATAACAAAAGTAATAGTTTCATTAAAGAAAAGCATACTGCATGTTCATATGTGCCTCTTAATAGTTCTTCATTTTACTTTCACTTGAGCAATCCCACACAAACAGACCTTTCTCTCTTCTTTATATTTATTATGTTTAAAATGTTGGTTTAAGAAACAATGGTATATACATTTGCAATTTGATTACAAATACTGAGTCAAATGCATCCCTCGCATATTTCCATTAAAAAAAATGAAGATATACCAGGAATTAATATGGTCTCTCTATTGTCACATCATTTTACAATTCCTGCACTGCTCTTTTTTCTTGAGTTCCTCATTTTGGATCTTTTCCCTGCACTGAAGCTTTGGCTGGTTGAGGTGTATGTAAATATAGCTTCAGAGTAAATTTCTTCTTCTCTTTAAAAGTTATCATTTTGGTGCTGTAACTGGTATATTTCCAAATAAAATGTGCTGAGGAGCATACTTGCAAGCATATAATAATTAAAATGTGTTCAGATCTCAATGCTAGAAATAAGTGTATATTTAAATTATGTTTTTAATTTTACTTATGTGTTTCTTGACTTTGGTTGTAATCCACAGGTCTTGAATACATTCTCCATAATGGATCCCTAGTGGACACAGTTGTGACAGTTAAGCATACAAGGGCCATATATTGTTATCCTTTCATTTGTAACTTGTCTTCTTAAAGCAGCATATATTAATAGCTCATTCCATTAAATACCAAATCGTCTGGGTAAACATTTTTTCCATATACTATAGTATCTTTGTGTAACATGTAAAATAAAAACATGCTTACCATCATCATTCTGGGCCAAACAATTGGTGAAGACAGTAGCAATCGCAATTCCTACAGCCAACCATTCCCAGAGAGAAAACTGCTGTAGCATTTTCTATTGAACTTCACTCAAGGCAGATCTGAAATAAAAAGAAAGATTTGACATGTTCATTAATCAGTTAAGGTAAATGCATCTGTCAGATTCATGGTTAATCACTGGTAGTATGGGTCCCTAAGCAATATTACTAAATGATATGTATCTATCAGCAAGCATGTCCAATCTCCAGAACAAGACAGTTTTGTTTTGTTTATGTTATTGCTCTTTCTACTTCAATCACGGTGTTAGAGAACTGTGTAATGTTTTGTGTTAGTCAAACATATATTAAATGTTAGAGAAATTAATATATATAACATGATAAGAAAAGATAACAATGTTTGCTTTTTGTACATTTTTGCTGAGATAGCACTTTAGATTTTGCTGCAAGAGTTTGCGAATTAGAAAACTGGTTTGTGTGTCTTATTTGTAAAATATCTGGCCTAAGCAAATAACAAGGTAAAGCAAAAAGTCAAGAGGAACTTTGCAGAAAATCAGGTGTACGTCCCTCCTCCCCTCAACAAGACAAGCTAACAAGCAAAAACCCAACACCACAAAAAACAGACCAGTGAAATGAACAACTACTACTGTAAAATAAAATCACCTGGATGAAGCCAGTGGGAGTGGGACCAAAAAATGTTGGGGAACAAATAGAAGTCAGTATCAGCAGAATATTCAAAAATGTATTAATTGAGGTTAATTATTGTAATGTATGTGTAAGCAGAGTCAGGATGAGCTCTACCCTGACATCTGGTGGTGAATTATGGCGAGTGTGGAAAAGAACTCCAGGGGCTGATCTTATTTGCATAGGCACACCCACTCGCCTGGCAGGAAACACAGCAACTGAAAGTGGTTACTTTGGCTGGTGTGGGATCCCCAGTTTCTCTATTATTGGGGCAGGAAGAATAAAGTTTTGTTACCCTGATTCTGTGAATCAAGGCCAGTGGAACTGTTGTATGACAGAAGGACTGAGTGAATCCGTCACCATTACCTAAGTAGCATTTGCTTGTCAAGGGGCATGGGTTACAAAACCCAGTGAATTGAGAGAGGATGGGGACAGGTATTTGTACCTGATGGTATGGGCCCCCTCTGAGGGTCCGAAACACCAATTGCACCACCTCCTCTCTCCACTGTGGAATATCAGAGCTAACTTTGATTCCCTTAGGAGTCTAGTTACAGGCTGCTGAGCTGAATTCACTTTGGGCCAATGGTGCACCAGCACTGGGGCTCCCCTACTATACTATGAGCTGAAATCGCTAAGAGCTGAAATCACAAAAGAGCTGATGTTATTAAGAGCTGAGATCACTGAGGCTATGTTAACTAGTGGGGGAGCCTGAAGCTATATTGCTCAGCAGCTGGTGGAGCAATTTGTGGGGACGACTGGAGGAGCAGCGAGCGGTGTGGAGCCTTGCAGGGCCGGTTGGAGTGGCCCAAGGAATGGCGAGCGGAGCTGTTTGCGGGGACGGCTGGAACGGCTCACAGGTCGGTGAGCGGAGCGGAGCGGAGCAGCTTGTAGAGCGGAGCAGTTCGTGGGATGGCAGGAAAGTGGACTGGCTCGTGGTAAAGGCTGCGGCGGAACCCCCACGGAGAAACAGACGGCTGGCCAGCCTCGGATCACGTAAGGTGTCCCTTAACACCCTGCGTGCCCCCCCCCTTTTACTCTGGGGCTGCACTGACCAGGGGCAGAGACTTTGGGGGTTGTTGAACTTTTGGGACTTTGGGTGGTTGCTGGACCCCAGAGACTTTGGGGATGTTGGACTTTGGGGACTCTGGGTGATTTTTGGGTTGCTGGATTCAAGAACCAAAGGGAAAGGACACAGCCCAATTTGCTGGGGTGGGTTTTGCTCATGGTTTGTGTTATGAATCCTGTTTGTGGTGTTTTTCCAATTTTATGCTGATGTCGTTTACCTCATGTCATTAAACATTTTCTGCTACACTCAGACTCCGTGCTTGCGAGAGGGGAAGTATTGCCTCTTAGAGGTACCCAGGGGGGTGGTATGTAATTGTCCCAGGTCACTGGGTGGGGGCTCGAGCCGGTTTTGCATTGTGTTATTGAAACGGAACCCCTAGATACAGAACCCGGCCCTTGTTGCTGCCAACTTAGATGGGCAGAAGGGTTACATATGCATGAGAATGTTTTAATTAGGGGGTTAGAATGTAATGTATAAAAATAAAGACAAATGAAGTAGCTCTGTAAACTGAGTCTGCACAAAGTTACAAAAAGAAAATTAAAAATTTAACAATAAGGGACTGGAGAAAATACAGGGGAAGACTAGTCAAGCATAGCAGAAACCAGAGATTTGAAAAGAGTCACCCTGTCCTCAAGGAAAGTAACTTGATCATTTACTTTTCTTGACTTATCTCTTTTTACATGTATATGTAATTCATATGTAATAATAACCCTGTCTTAAAATGTATATAACAAAAGCTAAAAAAAACCCTCTTTAAGTCTAGATTGGAGTGGATCTTGTTTCTCACCAACAAAGGTATCAAGCAAAGAAATATGTTATTCTCCTTCCTTCAGCTTCACCATTAAAGTTCACTGCTTTTCTGAAAAGTGATAATATAAAACAGATGTACCAATCCTTAAAGCTGCTGCTCAACTTCTGGGCTTGGCTGGGAGATATCCCACAGTGTTTAGACCCACTGAACACACCCAGGCTTCTAATAACATCTGGGACTGGTCCATTGCCAGTGCAGCACAAACCATAGAACAAGGCAACCTGGTGGATACAGGTCCACTGAACCAAACAAAAGTTTATAAAGAGTAGCATTTTTAAAGTTATACAATGCTCTATTCTGTTATTCTGATAAAAAAAGAACTCCCACAATTCAGGGGTGAAAATTACATTATTCTGAACATTTTTATATGAAAATATCAGAATAACAACAATGAAATATCAAATGGAAGCAACAAGAACGATGGAAATGAAAAGAGACATGGATAGTAAAACAAAGCTATTGTCTAAAAAGTATATAAATGCTGTCATTTTACTCATGTAAAGCACTTAGCCCACTGGTTTTCCTTATCACTTTCTGCTAGTATTTTTGTATTATGGTCATATGAGCTATATTTTCATTAATTTCTGAGTCAAACAATTGTCCCTCCACCCTCCGCCACTTAACAGCCTTTAGCATCAAAGCAATCTGATCTGCCATCAACAAGAAATTATTAAAGCCACTGCTATCATTTTCCTTCAAGAAATTGAACTTTTCCGATCTCTGCATCTGTATAGTTTCATCTTAGGCATTTATTTACATCACAAACAATAGTATCATATTAGGACATTAAAGCTTTCTTCTAAATAACTCACACTAAGTTACATTTATTGCAACCAAGAGAAAGCAGGGTTTCCGTTAAAAGAAATAAATGACAGCTCTGTTAAGTATTGGAAGAGGCACACACATCTACAAGACTTGGTTTGAATCTTGTTTTCCCAGTTTATAGCAGTGACACTGCACCCCGTATTCTTCATAGTGATATTATTATGATATGATACTTTCAGTCTAGATAGCTGGTTGGGAAGGGCCTGTTCAGGGCAATGAGCCATTAGGGGAAACAATAGGCCTTAGGAGAAGCCTGTCTCCCACCTGGTGAGCCTTCCTCAAAACACTCCAGACAGCCTGTAAATAATGGCTGCTATGACTCTACAAGGACATGTGACCAGGCCATATGATTCTGGATTCCATCTTGGAATGTCAGTATTTTTCCACAAACCGCTCTGGGAACCAAGTTTTGAAACAAAGGGTTGCTGCCATATGCTAAAGCTATATAAGACAGGGAGTGACATCATCTGTTGTTCTTCACTCCCCACACAAGAAGACTTCTGGAAACACCTGGGGGGGGGGGAACTGGACTGGGGGAAGTGCTGGTCCTAGGCTAAAGGGATTTCTAGCCTGTGTATGAAGACCTGAGAAACCAAAGCTGTAAAGCTAATGCAGCTTGTGCCTTAAGAATCTACAAGTCTGCCTGTACCATCAGTTAGACTGGATATGAACAGCAGAGTCTCACCCTATCTAGTATATTAAGCTTAGGGTACGTCTATACCCAGCCACTAGTTCGGCGGCTGGCAATTGAACTTCTGGGTTCGACTTATCGCGTCTTGTCTGGACGAGATAAGTCGAACCCGGAAGTGCTCGCCGTCGACTGCGGTACTCCTGCTCGGCGAGAGGAGTACCGCGGAGTCGACGGGGGAGCCTGCCTGCCGCGTCTGGACCGAGGTAAGTTCGAACTAAGGTACTTCGAACTTCAGCTACGTTATTCATGTAGCTGAAGTTGCGTACCTTAGTTCGAATTGGGGGGTTAGTGTAGACCAGGCCTTAGTTTGCATTTTTGTTTATTTGCTAGGTAATCCACTTTGATCTGTTTGCTACCACTGTTTGCTTTTGTAGTTAATACATTTATTTTATGTTTTAATCTAAACCAGTGAGTTTGGAGTGAAGTGCATGGGATTTGCTCAGAGAGGCTATTGTATATTTCTCTCCACTGCACATTGGGAGGGGGAGGGACGAACTCTATGAACTTACACTGTACAGTTCCCTGTGCAGCGCAAGCCGGTGTAATTTTGGATTTATGCTCCAGAGGGGGTGCATGCCTGGGGAGCTTTAGCCTTTCTACTGTTGGTTCATGCAGTGGCTAGTCAGAGAGCCTGCTGTGGGTATGCTGGTGGAAGTATAAAACCGAGAGCATATCTTCAGCTTGGTGGAGAGAACATCAATTCCAAGAAACCAGAGAAGCCCTTCTGTGTGATAAGGGCACTTAGGACAGTGAAGGAAGATGAATAATGCTCTTAATAGCAGCAGTTTCAATTATTTTCTTCAGGGCTTTCTTTTACTGATTCATAAACAAACTAGTCCAAAAACAAACCGCTCAGAACAGTGTTCCCCAACTTCCAGAGACTGTTCCAGCTTCCTAGTTTCATCTCTCTAGGTTGCTTCCACAGCAATAAATTACGTGACAGGGCTTGGCTTAACTCCTCATCTACTGTGTGGGCCTTGCCTCAGACCTCCACTGATAAGGTTGTACAGAGGACACAGAGAAAATTT